ACAATCCTTGTTTGTTTCTAATATAATTTTTTATCTCTACATTGAATATAAACTCAACATTTTGGTGTATGTTATATTCGAGTTAGGCTGTTTTGAAACATTTATTAAAAACGCCTCATAATTTCCTTTGGGCACTTAAGGGATAGAGATTAAAACTCGAACTCAAAGTAATTATAACTCAAAAGCGGATTATTTTTGAGAGAAATGAAAATGTGTTCAAAATTGGAGATTTGAATCCAACGACAACGACAACAATGACAGACACGCGAAGAAGTTTCGTCTTAAGAGTGACTCGAGATTTGCGCGAATTTTATGGCGAAAAGTCGGAAGAGATGTTCGCTTTCGCCGACGACAATGACGTCACGCGAGTCCACGCCGTTATTCGCGGCCCGAAAGACACGCCCTATGAAAAGGGTTTCTTCTACTTTGTGTTCACATTTCCGACGGATTATCCGCTGAGACCTCCGAAAGTGACTTTCATGACGACAGACGCGAATCGGGTTCGTTTCAACCCCAACCTCTACGCGTGCGGCAAAGTGTGTCTCAGCATTTTGGGCACTTGGAGTGGCCCGGAGTGGACGCCCTGTCAAACGCTGTTCTCAACGCTGCTCTCGATTCAGTCCATAATGAATGAGAAGCCGTATCGAAACGAACCCGGATTTGAATCGTATGACAACCAATCAGAGATCGACAAATACAACGCATTCATCGCTCACGAGACGCTTCGGGTGGCGGTCATCGGCATGTTGTGGACGCCCACCGCAGACGCCACTAATATTCCGCTCATTTTGAGAGACGTTATGATCGCTTCATTCAAACAGAATTACCGCTATTTCGAAGACACCATTAAATCGCGGCTCGAAATGGACGGACAGACGGTTTCGGATCCGTTTGGCGATTACTCTCAGCCGAGCTTTCAATACAAAGAACTGTTGCATAGATTGCGGACATTGAAAGAGAAGTACGAAATCAGCGATGAGTTGAGAGTTGTGTCCATAAGAGACGATCCGTTGGCGAAAGAGTATTTCGAAATACTGTCCAAAACTGTCACTCAATCGATGAAAAGAGAGCTGAAACCCGTTTGCGACGAAGTGCTGGACTTCGAGGACTTTGACGAAAGTGAGAGTTTGTCTGAATATGAAGAGGAATCCGAAAGTGAAGAAAATGAGATCACTTTATAGTTGTTTCAATTCTGAACATAAATCTGAAATTTGTTTATTATATAAAACTCGATGAAATGATTGCCAATTAATAAATTAATGTGTTTTTGATTATAAAACTTTATTAAAATTGAGATTAAAATTGCAATTAATTGAAGTTATTTTATTTAATTACGCAATCAAAAGTAATAAAAGTGATAAAAATATCTCGACTTTCAATATATTGTGTAATAATAACTCGAAAACCAATATATTTGTGAAGAATATTCTTATATCGCAGAAAGTGATTGAATTTCACGTCTTTTTCAACACAAAAACACTTATTTTCCGTCCAAAAAAAGAGCTCAAAATAATTGTTCAAAAATGTATCAAATGTTATGTGAAAAGAAAATTCAGTGAACTTTTGACATAACATTAGAAAATGATTCAATTATTGGATATCTGTATAAATATTAATTTTCTCGAAAGGGTTTTCCACGCAATGAATGACAGATGAATGCAAACAATAAAGCATTTGATCGCAAAGTCATTCACTTTCACTGCATCTCTCGTTAAATGCTTTTAAAATGACTTATTTTGGAAAATAGTCTCAAAATTTATAATTATTAAACACTTATAACTTCTGTATAGGAAACGGAAAAGTCGGACATTATTTCATTAGAAATTAAGACAAATATTGGAACAAAACTTGTAAAGCATTGCTTGAGAAGAGAGCGCAAGAGCTGAACACATAAACAGTTGAAGTTCCGATCTCTTCAGACTCGCAGTCGAGGTTTGTCTCTCTCGACAACAGATCATACGTTTTGTTCATCTCTTGTGTTAACGAATCTAATATAAACGACAACACATCAAACGTTGTCTAAAATAAAACGTTAATTATTTATAAGTGATTAACAATTAGTATAAAAATTATATATTTTTGGTAAGTTTAATATTATTCTGTATTTTTACTAAATTCAATGTTATTTTTAAATAAATATTTGAAACGAAATATTGAAAGATAATATAACTAATAAATAGGATTTAATTCAAAGAAAATCTCTTAAAAGTGAAATACGAGTAGAAATAAGAAATTATTTTTAGTATTTAAAGAATATTCTCTATTAAAGAAACCGACAATTATTTCGCTATTATTTCTCATTTGTTTCAAGGATTTAATGAACAAAAGTAGAGAAAGAAAGTAATGTCTTGAGCGAAATGGCAGACAGAGTGCGGAGCGAGTCTTTCCGGCGAATAAAGGTGTTGTTCGTGTGGGCACTGGTGTTGACTGTGGTGTTCACAGTTGTGGCGCTCATTATAGCCGTGAAAACGGGAGATCAACAGTTGGATCGGGCCTTCGCTGCGGAGACCGATCGCGACGTGCGGCACATGTATAACACCATTCGACCCATTCTTCGCGCGCTCATCATCTTCTTCGTGGCCATCGAGTGGATACTTCTGGTGATAGGACTCGTCGGTGCGCTTCGGGAACACTATTTGCTGAGTCTGGTGTTTGCCATCACTCAGGGCATTGGTCTCATCTGTTCGCTCTTCCAGATCGGACCCGTGCTCTTCGAGCTCAAGATCATTTGGGTCCTCATCGACATCATCACCACATCCCTGTCCGCCGTCTTTGTCTACTGTTTGCGATGCGAACTCTTGAGACCGCGTTATAACCAAAAGTGATCCAAACACTTGTGTCGCGACTCTGCGACACTTCCAGTGAACACACATTCAGTTTAACAACAAGTCAATAGAAAATCGTTTCCAACAACAAAACAAAAACCAATTAAACAATTCCTTCATTCATTTGATTTTAATTGCTTTCAGTTTTTTTTCAATTTAACAAAATTACATCAATGTTTGTTGGATTGTTATAAATATCGAGCAAATAAAGAATCCTTAGAATCCTTAAGAATATTATTTTTTATTTAAGATTTGTAAATAAATTATTTCATAATTTTTGATTAAATATAAATTATGTTTTAATAACTGCAGAATAACTGATTACTTGTTATGAGAAATATCGAGTTTTTAATAATTTATGTATTTATCGGTCTTATATATAATGACATCAAATATTTGTTGTGATAGAAGAGTGACTCTTGTATTGATTTATATGTTTATTAAAATAAAATAATGTAAATATAAATGTGGAGCAAATAAAATAATTATTGAACTCTAATTCTGTTTATAAATAATTTGATTCATAAACAAAATAAAGCATTGAAAGCAAAACATTAGAGAAGATTAGATTTGATATATAAAACAATTTGTCAAATCGTAAATGTGATCACAAATCGTATTAACTATCGATTCGTTGTAATAATATTTTTGTACATTAAGCCAATACAAGAATGTCAAAGTGTCCATGGTCAGATTATGCACGTTATTGACTCCCATAAATTACCTTATTCACAGTTATATTGCTCTCTCCCTCCCTCTCTCCAGTTCTTATTAAAAGAGATGTATTTTTAGATTAATCTCTTTCTTGCGTTCAATGAAATGAATTTTATTGAATATCGCAATTGACTTATTGTGACGATTATATCGCATGATATAAAATATGTGACAATTTATTATTTCGCAAATTGCAAACCCGAAAAATACCACAACTTTCTCAGCGTTTATTACAAATTGAATTTAATTCTCGTCTTCAGAAGCAATCGTTGAAATGCTTTTTATGTGAAAACACATTGACTCACAATTGGGAGGAAAGAAAATACTTATCCAACGATTTAATGTTGTCTTAAGTTTCGCATTAACGCTGTTTATTGTGTTGTATGGCTCATAGAGTGTGACCACAAAATACATTTCCTTTCAATCATCACTTGTTTATTATTTGCTTAAATAAGATAAACATTAATTTGAAGCTATTTTTGCATAAAAACTATTGCATAACAAAACATGTTGTTTTAAATAATTGTTGTTTACTTGTCTCGCATTTTGAGTATTAATGTAAATATTAATAATTCAAATGATAATTTCTACTTCAAATAAAACTCGGAATAAATTACAATAATTCAATTAAATATTAATTATTAAACAAACAAATGAAATGTTTATTTTATTTTTCACAATATGACAAATAAATATGAATTGAAAGCAAATTAAAACTAAATTTTATTTACAATATTAAATAATCAATTGTTTAAAGCATAGAATCTAATTAAAAGCTCATTTTAAAATGTTGGTTTTAATATTGTGAAAATCATGAGAAACTTTTACCACAACATTAATGCAAAGTGCAAGTTGGGTAACTTTTAAATAATAAACAAATTACATTTATTACAACCCTGTATATTCATGAACATTGTTATAATATATCAAATGCTAAAACTAAACCAAATTAAGATCAGAATATTCTTCGATAATATAATTTATCAGTTAATCCATCATTTGATGCGTCTATCCATTAATATCTTCGTTCATAACGTCTAGCAATATATTTGGAAATTAACATCTCTATAGAGTCAACGAATGGATAAAAATGATTTCCAAATAACTTATCATTTGTTACGAATCTTATTGTATTTTACAGCAAATCTTTTATACGATTTCATTCATACAATAAATGACAAAATAAACGAGAAATTAATCCTTTCTCTCAATGATTAATGAAATAGTATCGAGAATTTAAGACTTTTATATTAGATTGTGTTATAAAATAGCATTAAAATAAATAAACTAAATTTCTGTGTAAAAGATTTTTTTCAGAAAAGTAAATTTTTGTTAACATTTATATTCCGAATAAATAGTGCTTTAAATTCAAAATCAAATATAAAATCGAGAATATATTCTGTATTTATTATTATTATGTATAAATCAATATTTTATTCTTGATATAAAAATCTATAGTTATTAGAAAACATGATTAGAAAATGTATATATTTATATATTTTAATAATAATAGTTATTATTATGGGAATTATGTGTAAATTGTAAAAAACACGTTATTATAAGTCAAACATAGAATGTAATAAAAGAGTGAATTTTATTATTATTTATTGAGTTTAAAAACGCAAAAATACAAAAAGAGAAGAAATATTATATAATATTTCACAGAAAACATATAAAATCAATCAATTTTGTAAAAAATGTTTTCTTCAGTTTCCGTAAACAATTGCAATACATATTGAAAATACATTCTTTTGTTATCATTATTTCAATAGAGAATAAAAATGAAATAATAATGAAAATACCAAATGTTGTGATAAATGTATTTTGACTTTTGATGGACTGAACATGAATTTGTACAGTAAATCGACATTTATGGCAACTCTTCAGTCTTATTGTAATATTAAAACTCTGTTTTGGAAAAGTTAAAATACTATAACGAATCGTTTATTTCTTAACTTATATTATCGTTTCAATGATGACCCAAACTGACCAATCAATATCCCTCTCATCGATCACCATAGCATTCATTCAATGAGTAAAACTATAAATTAATTTTTAGCAACAATTCAGTTATGAATAATGTGGTTTTCAGCTATGGATCGTTCGGCCCCCTCTATGGTCAATGCTAATCCTATGGACAATGGACATTAAGTCTATAGCAATGCAAAGTCTATGGCCATCTAAGCTAATCCTATTGTTAAGCATCATCCGAATTGTGGTTTCTAATGGTTGACAAGTTCGATAAAATACTGTATTCAAAAATTTATACCAAAACTAAAACTTAAAATATTTGTTGGGAAATATTTAATGAAAAAAGCTTTCTTACAATTTTTTATTGTCTTTTGTCTCGCAATAAAAATAAGTTTTTACACAAATATTTTTACATTAGATTTTAAAAGACTAAGAGATAAGACCAAGAGCGAATTTAAGCAACAACTAAAACCCATCAAAAATATAAGCAACATTTGAGTTTCCAGAATAGAAGTATGTTTTATACGAAACAATTACTTAAATCTTCATTTTATGACAAATTAAAGCATTGATAAGAAATGATTACAATTTTATACAAATATTGTTTATTTATGGGAAAAGTGATCACAATTTGTAACATTAAATTCAAACATATTTACACGTAAGTTATC